CGGAAACCCTAAGCCCCAAACCCTAAAGCCTAAACCGTAAACCCTAAACCCTAGACCCTAATCCCTAAACCCTAAACCCTAAACCCACTGGCATCCAATGCTTCGGGAATCCAAAGCCCCCACACCGCTGCACAGAGGAATCCCAACAGGTATAGCGCCTGGCCCCTTCTAAACCCTGACCTCCATCAACCCCGCAAGCCCTGAAAAGCTTTCACGCAAAACCGTGGCACCCCAAAACCTTATGCCCCAAATCCCATGCAAGGCCCTCAAAACCTGGAAGCCTCAAGACATGCGACTACAAAATAAGCCCATCCAACCCCAAGTGCCGGAACCCAACGCCCGTAGCACGAAGAAGCCCCAGGCTCATTCTAGAACCTCCCCAAGCGGCCCTAATCTCTAAACCTTCAACCCTAAATCCTAAACCCTAAACCCCACATCCTAAACCCTAAACCCATTTTCAGTTAAGCAGGCCTTGGCGAAGCAGCGCGTGGCCAAGGCCAAGGCCCTCTTCGAGAGCTTTGGCTTCGTTTACAACCGCCGTACACATACAAATACATAAATGCATGTGTGTACAAATGTGCACATATACATATGTAAACCTCTAAAAGAATATATACAATGTAAAGCATGCAGTTGACATGGCACAGCATAGAGCTTACATTCTACATTCTGCCTTACACATATACATATCCGTGTACGCATACCAACACACTTGTTGTATCTGCATACGCACATATGCACAGACAGATCTGTATGTGAAGTGCTTTTTTTGTGTGGGTGGGTTTAGGACATCTTGGTTACAAGAGTTCAGCTTGAGGGGCTTACGTTGAACGCTTCGGTTTGTGGGGAGCATTGCAGCCACGAGCGCGTCTAGGAGAATGAAGGCAAGATCGTACGAGAATCGGCTTCAACGACCAAGACATCCCCTGGGTAGCTTGGGTTTAGGAATCCGAGGTGAGTCGGTCTGCAGGGCCTGTTAAACCTGCTTAAATCCCGAGGCCTTCCACCGCAGACCGCAAATTCTCAAACTCTTATGGGGGTCCATGATACTATAATTATAACAGGGAACCCCCAAAACCCTATTCTGCCTTGAACCGAAGCCCTTACACCCGAAGCTTTCCGTAGACTCTAGACTGCAGTCGCCTTAGGCTGCTGCTGAGTACTTGAAGGGCTTTGGATTGCCGCCAAAGGGGTTGGATTTAGAGCCTACCTGTTTAGGTTGCTGATTATGGTTTCTGTGTGTAAGTTCTTAACAGAGTAGCCGAGTCGGAGGTAACGTCGGGCATCGAATGTAGGACGTGTTCAGCTCATGGAGGGGCTTGGTTTGGTCATGGCAACCCTAGGCCCTGAGCCGTAAAGCCTAAAGTTTAAGCCGTAGGGCGAAGCCCCAAGAACGGCAAGGAAGCACTACCCTGGCTCCTATGAGGCTTGCCTGCAATGGTGTTCATCGCGCTCCTCTGGTGAACCCTCAAGCCCTACACACTGAACCCTACATCCCAAGCCGAGGAAGTCCCTATAAGAGCTGTCGGCCGAAAGCAAGTGTCCCAGAATTCCTGAAGCCCAAGCCCTTTAGGCCCAACCTCCCAGAGTGAAGGTTTCAAGATTGCTGCACTCGCGTAAGCTTGCGCTGATTGCAGGACACTGAAGGTACAAGCTGTTGATATCGATCTTGACAATGACGAAGATGCGGCTTCCTGTGGCGGTGGTAGTGGACATCTGGTCCATGTGCTGGTTCATTGTTAGTGCTAGCTGGAGGGATATGTGCGAAGTGCCTGCCCGAACCTGTTTTCGGGTTTGGGCGCCGAATTCAATGAGCTGAAGTCGCCTTTGTGAAGGGTCTGGGATCGAGACACCTACAGTACCCCCTCAAACCCCCAAGCCCAAGACGAAGTCCCACCCACAAAATCGCGCCGCCGCACCCAAAGGAAGGCATCGACGAGCCTCCTTGCGATTTCGATTTCTTCTCATTCTACAAGATGGCACCGGGCGGGTGCCCAGTAGCACACTTCAGAAGTCTACAAAGTTAAGGGGGTTTACAAGGTTTCGGGGTTCGCGAAGCAACTTGAGGTTTGGGGTTTGAAAGATGTGGGATTAGGGGTCCTAAATCCCACTCTCGGCCCTGAGACTTTAGCAGCTGGGGTTGCGAGGGAGGAGGGTCCAAACCGCACAACTCCAGCAACTAAACTCGGCTCGTAGCGGTACTGACGTGCAA